TAAGCAATTGAAAGTCATCATTCTTTGGGCTGCATTTCTGCTTGGTTGAGAGTAAAATAACATTTAATCAGTTTTTCCAGAAAATAATATTTGATCAGTTTTTCCAGAAGCGAGATTCCATTTTGTTGTTTCTTTTCTCCAAATTGAATATTCCCTCTCATAGTTCAACTTAGGCATCTCTTGTTTGATGTGGTAGATACTGTAGCAATCTTTTGTGAGGTGTGCACGTGAGATAAAAGTGTGTGAAAAAGATAAGTAGGCAATTGAAAAATATATTATGATAAAACCAAATTTTATTTTATTTTTCAAATAATCACTTAAGCAACCAAACCTGTTATACTTACGATAAAAGCAAGTAGCTCTTCATCCTTTTGCACTTAAATCAAGTGAATGAGGGGCTACACCACCTTTTGATAATTTTTCCTAAATAAGCTTTAAAAGATTTTGATTATTTTCTTAATGGCCAGGTAGAGTGTTTTTTAAAGCTCTCTTGTGCACTAGGTCGAGGGTTCAAATCCCGCCTAGGGTTCTTAATGAACTAAAGATATTCTCCTATTTTGTAAGAAATATTTTTTTTGGAGCATTTTTGTAAAAACTGTATTTATGTTACTTCAGAGTCAAAATGGGATCTCAGGCAGTGTTATTTATTTATTGGATGCAGCAAACATTGATTTATTATTCCTCAAGATTTTAAAAAGAAATTAAGGACCATATACCGCTGAGTCAACAAGTGTCGATATGAGAAAGTGTGGATGAAAGAAAGAAGGGTAATGCAAATTATTGCTAATAGTAAGAGAAACCATAGAATGCATCTCTGCAAGTGGAATCTCGAAGAACACTACATTGGGAACATCTTAACAAATAAAGCTCAATACTCTGTTTTCGACTGTTGATACGGTGAAGATCTTGAAGAACAAAAGTAATCTGATGCTAATAATGTAAGCAGTCGATAAAATAACCAAAAAAGTACATTAAGGAAAAGAAAAAAAAGAAATGGTTTACTCATCCAATCTATCGCCCGTGCATGAACATACGCAGCAGTTTTTCGAACTTGGGTGTAAAATTTCAGCCTTTCAAAGTCAATGCCTTCCATGCAGTGACGGATCCGGGATTTTTTTTTTTTAGTAGGGCTAAAATTTTCTTAATATATTATGTTCAAAATAATTTCTATCAATTTAAATATATGACATCTAAAAAAAATCAAATATTAACTTTAATTATATATATATATATATATAACTCTCATAATAAAAACTAAAATTATAAAAAAATTAGGAAGAACCAACTTTATTTTACGCATATATTTACACACTATAAATTAAAATTTTCAAAATTTAGAGGAACCATGACCCCATCAGCCCCCCTTAACTCCGTCATTGCTTTCATGGTCATGCTGGGGACATGGCCGACCTAGTGATAAATGCTTTTGGCATGGCTGCTACTTCCAGCCTTTCAAGGACTTTCATGGACTTCAACTCTTAAGGAAGCATTTCTAAATTGTAACAATAGCTGATAAGTAAGCACCTAAGTTTTAGCATTGGACCTCTCCCAACATCTATTCGTACCAGATTAAGTAGGTCAATGAGCTCAATAAACTTCAAATTCTGAAATCTGTTTTCAGAAATTACTAATTTCAAATTCTACAAGCCCCTCGTTGGGATGTTGAAAATGGATACCTCTTGTCTTCTTGTCACCTTCTAACTTCTCAATTATCCTTTCCTAGTCCTTAATAATTCTCCACACTGAAGCCCAATGATACTTAAATCCCAGGTATCCTTTCATAAACCAACTGAACTAGCTCGGTTGGCCACCAGAGAGGGGAACTAAGTCCCTCCCTAGGCATAGGTCGGGGGGTTGATCCCCTCTTGACTCAACCCTTGACTGCGTTTTCTCTCCAGTATTTTCTAGAATATGGTCAAAAGTCATATAACTCCTTTCGAACCTCTCAATAGATTCCTCTCCCATTTCTCTCCCTTTTCCCCCAGTATAGGACCATTTGTAGTAATGTTTTAGTGATCAACTTACTTTCAAAAACAAAATGGTATCCTTTTATAATGTGTTAATGTCATTACTATGTGAATAAGTAAAGATTTCCTAGAACCACCCTTATAGCATTCTAGTTATGATTTTATCTCTCTGGTTGATAGGACCAAATTTCGGTACATCAATCTACTTCAAACTATTTATAACTAATGTTTAGTACAATTTCAACTAATGTTCCTGTTTCCTTAATTGATTATGGTAAAATCATGGAACGAAGGGCCGAGGACGAGGAGCAATGTTTTAAAACTTGGACTATTAATTGAACCGGTGAGGTGTTCGGGTCAAGATTTAACCAATCAGACCGGTTCAACCCTGGTTCAATGAATTTTTTAAAAATAATTTATATAAATATATATGCACAAGGTAAGATATGCAATGGACTAATTTAAAACTTTATATGATCAAAAGTTTAATATTTTCAAAGAACTTGGATTTTCAAAAATAAATTACCAAAAAAATAATCTTAAATCCAACCCAAAAATACCACAATATTTTGAAATTATACAAAATTCACGTCTATGGGAATTAGATATTGCGAGTTTAAATTTTAATTCACGCATTTAGGACTTAGAGATTGCAACTTTAAAAAAAGGAAGTTTGAAGTTTGGAGGAAGTCAGGAAAGTCGAAAATAGAGATGCAAACTTGATAAGAAACAAAAAATGAGATGAAAGTGAGTGGTTGTGGCATTTAATAATTAGTCTTTAGGGTTAAAGAAAAACGATTATTTTTTTTATTTTTTTCAATTTAATAGACAAAAACAAAATTAAAAGATGGAAGAAAACATCAATAAATTAAAACTAAAGAGGTTTGATTAAAAGGGGGTGACAAAAGAAAAGAGGGGAGAGAGAGACGGCTGAAGATTAGAAAGAAAGAGTCATGAGAGGATGAGATTTTGTAGGAAGAACGGAGAAAAGAAAGATAGAGATTTGTTTTATATAAATGTGGTATAAAAAGAGACTAATTGGATGTGATGGTGCAATGATTACTATGCAGGTCTTCTATAGCAAAAGTCTTGAGTTTGATCCTTGTTAGGTGCATTTTGCAAAACTTTAAAAAAATATTGAGGGGAAAATTAAAAAAATCGGGAATCATCGGTTCAACCGGGTTTACTGGTTTTGAAGGGTTTGATTGGTCTTGACCCGTTATTTGACAATTTCAATTGTAGTATAGAACTAGACCGGTATTATGGCCGGTTTGCGGTTCAACTGGTCGAACCAGCTGATCCGCAATCGATCGAACCAGTTAATCCGGTCCGGTCCGATTTTCAAAACATTGCCGAGGAGGGCTACCATATTTGCACACTTTTTCTTTCTTCAACTTGATTGCCCTACTATGCAATCCATTGAGATTCAGGGATACTAAAGACGGTTGTGTTGCAAATTATTAGTGAATTCCTAGAAACAACTAGCAAACTAAAGAAAAAAAAAGAAGAAAAGCATTTGTGGATTAATGATTCAAATAATATTAGTGTAACACGGGAGGGTTTATATTTATGAAATATCGTCCATATTCAGTTTGGAATCTTTTTTTTTTAATTATAAAATGAGGTATAAATCTAGACATGATCGTGTAAAGAATTTTTTATAACTACAATATTTGCATACAAATAATCAATTTTCTCAACAACTTATGGAATCATGGAGTCAAGTGATTGTGGGTAGAAAGAAGATTTAATTAGGCAATTCAGTGAACATAACATGCAACACATTTTTCTTCTTTTTGCACAAAATTCAGGGTCTTCCCACTTAAATTAATTACATGAATAGTGGTTTTGAGCAGAAAAAGAATATCAATATTCCAATTTATTTTATCCAAAAGATTAAAAAAATAATTATTCTATAGTAAAAATCATATCTTGTAATTTGAACATCCCAAGAACCTTGGGGTCTTTCTTTATAAACTATGTAAAAGGGCACTTTCGTTAACTTGACTATTTTAACGGTTAATTTAATTAGTTGGACTGAAATAGGAGGCAAAGTGAGAGCAAAGTAACCAAACTCCAAAAGGAGTTTTTATAATTAACGCTTCTTTTCACTCCAATTCTCCAATGGTCCACAAAAAACTAAATAAGTTTTTCTTTATAAGCAAAATTACGCTTGCTTTTTCAGAGAAGTATATACATTTCCTTTAAGGCAATACATGTTATAGAATCATCTAACTAGTAATCATGAAGATTTAAAAGGGAGTGTCAAACTTATAAACAGCGTACAATCTTGGACTATCCATTACACACGCCATTTGTACTAATTTTTGTAAACATGAAATTACTACGAAAGCATGAATAAAAAATAACATTACATGTAAGAATTATTATAAACGTTTTCCCCTCAGTAATGTTTATCCCAAACAACTTAAATGAACAGCTTGTTATTAGCATCAACCAAATATCTCTAGATATTTTTATTGAATTAGACATTTCAAAATCCCAAGAGTTTACCATCAGGATTTTTGAGGCCTATCAAAGGCATGAACCTTTTTTTAAAAAAAAAAAAAATTTCTACTTGTATTAATATGATATATGCAATGTAAATTGATAGAGAGACAAATCCTATAAGGTACAGGTGTAGGCACTGTTAGTTACCCAAAAAATCATTAATAACAAAAGAGTCAATCCTTGTTTAATAGTGGGATAATTAAAAAAGCAAGCGATGAAATTTGAGATTTCAAGTAATTAAAAAAAAAAGAGGACTTAAAAAGCTTGTCGGTTGGCCTCAATTATGTGACGAAAATAAAGAGTGAAATTATGGCAAAGCAAGTATGTTGAATTGGGGAAAATAAAAGTTATGTTGAATCAGAAACCTTCTTTTTATTTATTTAATTAGATAAAAACTGGAAATAATTTTATTAATCACTACTCTGAAATTCAGCATACAGTGCAGTATAAGGTGGAGCAGGAGCCCCTTAATGGAGAGGATAAATAAGAGAGTACAAAGGTAGAAGTACACATTCAAGACATTTATGCATAACCTTCCATTCTACGCCACGAATAAAAAGACAATCTTCGTTTCTTTTGCGAGATCCTGGAGTCAAATATTCTGAGGTTAGGGACACTGGACACCATGTCCGCATCAAGCCTACTGATGAACTCTTCTGGCATGTCCACTAGCTCAAGCGTATCAAGAGTAGATATGTGCTTCAGCTCTTCCGGCAACTTCTCCAAATTGCGGCAGTCCCTGATTCTCAAGCACTGGAGCTGTGGCAATGCAGCTTTCTCCACCATTATTTCATCCAAATCACATAGGAGGTCGAGCTCAAGGAATTTCAATTGGCGAAACCCATGCCTAGAAATGACTAGCCGTGGCCCCCCATATGCATCTTTCATTTTGAGGAACGACAACTGTCCCAACTTCTCTAGTATTGGCATTGGGTCATTCATGAGATCTGTGTATTTCAAAGACAAGCGAGAGAGATTTGGAGGGAAATCAGGAGGCAGCATTCTCAAACCCGCCCCATATATCTTAAGCTCTGTTACATGATGTAGCTTAGAAAGTCCAGCTACAGATGGCCACCGGTATCTTCCTCGAGCACGGTAAAGATGTAACATCTTTAGACTTCCAACCTCAGATAAATGCATGCAGAGTTTGTCTATCTCTGACCTATCATCTACTACAATCCCCAGTTTCTGAAGACTTGTCAAAGTCATCATGTTATTGTGCATAATGTGATCAAAGCGTATGCCTAATAGAGTCTGGAGATTCTTCAATCCTTCAATCTTAAGAGGCACATTACATTTTATATCAGATGCATATAGATGCCGTAAACTTTCAAGCTTCCAAATGAAATTTGAGACTATCACTGGATCAAGGTTCCGTATGTCAAGAGTTTGTAGGTATCGCAAGCAACCGATGGAATGAGGGAGCCTACTAATGGATGTCTCTAATAAACTGAGGTATCTCAGAAGCCTGACTTTACCAATTTCTTTTGGCAAATTATACGGCATCTTAACATTCTCAAGGTCTAGTATCCTAAGCTTTCTGAAACTTTTGAAGCTAAGACTAATGTCTTCCCTGTCAACATGGACATTGAAAAAAAGTAGAGACCGGAGAGGAGGGGTCGAAGTCCAAAAATAATTTGTATCCCGAGGGAGAATATGAACAGCGAGGTACCTGGATTTGGCTGATATTTTATCATATCTGGTGTCGTGGATCTGAAAAAAATTTTCATCCTCTGCCTTTCTGATTGCAAGCTCTCGCAACAAATCATGGACTCTACAGCTTTTAATCCTCTCATCAACAGTCATTTCCGCCACCTGAACCATATTTCTGCTAAAAAGTTGTTCCAGATCATATGCTGCAATTTCCTCCAAATTTTGTGCATCTCTTTTCTGCATTATTCCCTCTGCAGCCCACATATGGATAAACTTTCGCACAGAAATCATGTAGTCTTCGGGAAACAACCCCAAATATAGAAAGCAAAATTTCAGATTGGGAGGAAGGTCTGCATAACTTAATTCCAGAATTGCTGATACTCCACTCTGGCTCCTTGATAGGTTTGTGTTGAAGCTGTTGAGAACTTTCTCCCATTCACTCTTCAACCTTTTCTTTGTCAGTAGCAGCCCACCTACAACTGTGATGGCCAGTGGCAGACCATCACATCTCCTTGCAATCTCTCTTCCCACTTCTTCCAAATCCAGAGGACACCAAGCATTATCCCCATGGCCTAAGGCCTTTCTAAGGAACAACTGCCAGCTATCTTCCTGCCCCAAAGTTTTCAAATCATATGGGATGCTCAGAGCATCTGCGTGTAAGGGAACACCCCTGTTGCGACTTGTAATTAGCAGTCTACTTGATGTATTAACATCAGGAAAGGCCCTAGCAAGACAATCCCACGCTTCTTCCTTCCATACATCATCAAGTACCACAAGATAGCATTTATCTTGTAGATCTTGATAGAGCCTTCGTTCCAAGTCCTGCTCGTCCATCTTTTCCAACATCTCAAGTAGCTTGTTATCCACTGCATTCAATTGCTTTATGATTGATCTCAGCATCTCTTTGTGACCGTAGCTTGAAGAGACGCAGAGCCAAGCACGGCAATTGAATCTTTCCCTGAGATCAGCATGGTTATAAACTTTTTTGGCTAGAGTTGTCTTACCAGCTCCTCCCATGCCGACGATTGAAACCACACGGCGGTTTTTGTCCTGTTTCAGAAGTTCTGCCACCAGGAATTTTGTAATCTCCTCGAAGCCCACTATATCCTTGTCCTCGCTAAAAGGAGAGGTTCGGCGAAGGCGCCGAAACTCCTCTCCCCGTGAACTCATTCCCTCTTCGAGATTTCTGATACCATACTTTTCGCGTCTATCAGCTATGTCATTGAGCCTCATCTGTAAAGATTCAATCTCTTTCCCTATCGTGTAGAGGTTTACAATTTTCAAGGGATAATACGTCAATTTGGTGATGAGTCCCTTGTTCCTTGTGAAGAACTCAACTTTGCTGGCAAAGATCTCAATGACATCCTCCGCATCGTAGGCAGCAGCTCTGATTAAAGAAACCCAGTTGCGGATCCTCGCATCTTCATCTTCCCTCTGTTCTGCATCTTTCAGGAAGCACCGCATCCACTCCAGATCATTTCCAAGTCCTTCAACTTGTCGTCGAACATCTTTTAGGAAAACAGATTTTTTATGTAGCAGATCAACGGTTCTCCCAATGACAAGAGAGATGACAGAGTCGGCCATCTTGGTTAAGCCGTAAACGAGCTTTTCTCTCAACAAGCTGTTGTTTTAACTGATCTCAGAAGAGAGGTTGGATTCTGTTGGTTCATTTTCTCTTCTCAGTTTTATCCTTATTTCATTGACTTGTACAGGAGCAATTATTCCAGTCAACAACCAATGTGGTTATGCACTTTGGCATTATCCAGTGAAAACCAAACCAAATGAATTCTAGGAATCTTTGGGACAAATTTGTGGTTCCAAAGCCACGTAGGAGGAAAATAGAATCACTTCTAGTCTGATTAATTAGGAATCTAAGAGGTAATAGAATTCGTTAATTAAGAGTTAAAAAAAAAAGCAACCAATACGAAATTACAATAAATAACCCAAACCACGACGCATGAATTGCCTTGCAAAAATTATTGATTATACATCTTACAATTTTAAAAAAGTCTATGCCTTAAAAATCTAAAATTCAGCCCAATTCAAAAAAAGAAATAATAAAAAAAATTTCAGGTATGAGAAGATTTATTCATTTCAAAAGTACCCATCAACTATAATACTAATTAGATTAAGTATTTGATCTAAATTGTTAATTCACTTATGGGGCCATAACTAAACATGATCAACCAAAAAATTTTCATCATCCATAACAAAAAAAAAAATAACAACTTCCAAAATTTAACAAAACAAAATTTTTTCCAATACCTTAAGATTCTTGTTGTCACCACAATTATAAGAAAAATTAGCCCAGCCAAGATCTCCTTATATTTGATTCTTTTATTTATCAAGTACATAAATTGAAAAAAAGTTGCCTAGATAGGATCCATTTTTAGATGCTAAATTAGGCTTTATTTTTTACATTTCAAATTATAGTTAATTTAGTTTGTAAAGGGCTTAATTGTTTCTCATGTCTCAATCCTTTAATTTATCAAGTGATTTTTTTTATTTGCCGAGTATATAAATTAGAAAAGATACACCTAGAATTGGCTATATTTTTAGATAGAAAATTAATTAACTTTTACAATCCAAATTATGGTTAATGTAGTTAGCAATCATTTAACTCTTTTTCTTCATATATATGTGTAAAATATCATAAATTATAAGGATAATAGATTCATTTGACCATTAATGATGTAAGCATTGGATCTTAAATGACTGACAGGAGAACTAAGTAAAATTTCTAAAACCTTAGGGTAGGACAGTGAAAATGTTAAAAACCTTAGGGAGGTTTCTGAAATTACCCCTTTGTCCAAACCCTCTCTATATTTAGTTTATTTTTGGTACTCTACCAGGAGACTTGTTGCGCGTGAAAGTCAGAGCTTGACCGGTCTAGCTTATGGACCACAGTTTGTCGGGTGAAAACGCTGGCCAGCTTGATAAGCATGTACAAAATAAGGAGGGATAATTGCAGAAACCTTCCCTGAAGTTTCTGACACTTGCACTAACCTCCTCTCTAGGTTTAGAAATGGCATTCAGCACCCCTGAACAGGAACAATTCGTTGTAGAAACCTCCCCTGAGGCTTGATGTCCCATTAAAAAATTATTTGTAGAAGTGAGATAAGAAATTTCTTCCAATTTTGCCCTGATCTTGCTTGACAATTAGTATTAACAAGGGAGGGGCATAGGCATTAAGGATCAAGCAAGTTCAAGGGGTATAAATGCAACATATTTTTTATTCCAATATCTAGCTTGGTTTGATGAGTGTTTCGGAATTAAATGCAATTAAAATTCAAATTTACCCCTGATATAACAATTCTTATAAAATAAAAGAATTACATATACGACAAATTAACATCTCCATAATTGTAACTACAATAGTTATTAACTTTTTTGATAAAATATAAGAAAATCATAAACCATAACAAAAATTAATACTAGAAAATAAATATAGTGGCTGTATTAATAAGGGAAAAATTGGTTAAATAGCGCCCAAAGGAAAATTAGTATGTTTTGTATTTAACATAAATTAAATATGTGAAAGTTAAAAAAAAATTGCCCATAACATACCAACTCTTTATGGGAAACTGGCAGGTTTTATATTTAATGCGCTATTTAACCAATTTCGTTGGCCTGTGGAGTCCTCCCTCTTCCAAAACATGAACGGCTTTAACATGTAGTTAATTAGTTAACTGCATATAGTTTAACATGCAAATAGTTTGTTAATTAGTTAGTTAGTTAATTAGTTAAGCAGTTAAGTAATTAATTAGTTAATTAGTTTAACATGCTAATAGTTTGTTAGTTTCGGATAAACAACAGCTTTAGTTAATTAGTTAATTAGATAATCAGATAATTAGTTAATTAGATAAATAGAAATTAGTTAATTAGTTAATTAATTAATTAGATAATTAGTTAGTTAATTAGTTAAGCAATTAATTAGTTTACTAGTTTAACATGCAAATAGTTTGTTAGTTTCGGACAGACAACAGCTTTAGTTAATCACTTAATTAGATAATAGTTAATTAGTTAATTAGATAAACAGAAATTAGTTAATTAGTTAATTAATTAATTAGATAATTAGTTAATAGTTAATTAGATAATTAGTTAATTAATTAATTAGATAATCAGTTAATTAGATAATTAGATAAATAGAAATTAGTTAATTAATTAATTAGATAATTAGTTAGTTAATTAGTTAAGCAGTTAATTAGTTTAACATGCAAATAGTTTGTTAGTTTCGGACAGACAACAGCTTTAGTTAATTAGTTAATTAGATAAACAAAAATTAGTTAATTAGTTAATTAGATAATTAGTTTAATTATGCCGAAATAGTTTGATTAGTTAATTAGTTAATTAGATAATTAGTTAATTAATTTAACTATGTAGAAATAGTTTGATTAGTTTAATTTGTTTAACAAATTAAACGTTGGTTTTGATGAAAGTACTCAAACCTTTTATCTGGTAAAGTCAAATACAATTGGGGGTACTCTAGTAAATTCACACACTTTTACCTTTTAAATTGGCTCCAACTTTTTCTAGGGGAGATTAATGCTATTTTAAAATTGATCGGGGAGGTCAGTGCAAATGTCAAAAATCTCAGGGGAGATTTCTGCAATTTTCCCAAATAAGGAAAAGAAGTGCCCAATAAAGTCCTCCAAGGTGAAAACTCTGAGCAAACCAGTGACTCAGTCAAAACTAGTGTCTGCGCGCCGTTGTGCTGCTGCCTTTTATACTTGCAATCAGTATCAAATGGGTTAATCATATTTTATCTCCTTAAAGAATACCCCATTTATCAGTTTACCCCTTAATCTTTAATTTTGCTCACTTAATCTCATTTAGGATAAAATTGTCCTTGCATTATTTTGACTTTTCATTTACCTTGTTTTCCTTTCTTTTATTTCTTTTTCTCTTTCTTCTTTATTTAATTCTTTCTCTTTCCCACAAAAATTTTCACCTTAATGATTGAAATTAAAAAAGAGGAATTGCAGAGATCTATCTTCTCCTTAAATGATTAAAAAAAATATTCAAATTACTTTCCTAAAATACAATTTTTTTAGCCTTTCAATTCTTTTAATTTTGGGTTTTCCTCTTTCCTTTCTAGTTTCTCATTTTATTCCCAAGAAAATATCTTAAGATGAAATTGTGACCTGATTAATAATCATCAATTGAAATTTGTGACACGTGGCATCATACAAAAACTCAAAATTAGTTTTTGATACCTTTTAAATCTTCACCCAGAAATATGCAATTACAAACTCAAAACAAAAATTTTCGTTGAAATGGAATTTCTATTGGGAATGATGAAAGAGCGAAGAAGGAGAAAAAGAAATAAAAGAAAGGAAAACAATTTTATCTTAAGATATTTTCTTGGAAATAAAATGAGAAATTAAAAGGGAAAGAGAAAAATCCAAAATTAAAAGAATTGAAAGGCTAAAAAATTGTATTTTAGGAAAGTGATTTGAATATTTTTTTAATCATTTAAGGAGAAGATAGATCTTTGCAGTTTCTCTTTTTTAATTTCAATCATTACGGTGAAAATTTTTGTGGGAAAGAGGAAGAATTAAATAAAGAAGAAAGAGAAAAAGAAATAAAAGAAAGGAAAACAAGGTAAATGAAAAATCAAAATAATGCAAGAGCAATTTTGTCCTAAAGGGGGTTAAGTGAGCAAAATTAAAGGTTAGGGGGTAAACTGAAAAATGGGGTATTCTTTAAGGGGATAAAATATGATTAACCCGTATCAAATGGACTGATGTTAGCCATTAGAGTTTAAAATAAGGGTTAATCACAATTAATTCCTTTAAAGTATACCTCATTTCTCACTTTATTCCCTAAATATTTTTTTGTCTCACTTTATCCTCCATTGGACAAAATTATCCATCTATTATTCTAAACTCTTATTTTTCTCTTTTATTTTTTTCCTTTCCCTTTTTGTGCTCATTTATTTTCTTTACCTCTTTCTTCTTTCTTTAATTCTTTCTCTTTCCCGCAAAAATTTTCATTTTAATGATTGAAATTAAAAAAGAGGAATTCCAGAAATCTATCTTCTCCTTAAATGATTAAAAAAACATTCAAATCACCTTTCTAAAATACAATTTTTTTAGCTTTTCAATTCTTTTAATTTTGGTTTTTCCTCTTTCCTTTCTAGTTTCTCATTTTATTCTCAAAAAAATATCATAAGATGAAATTGCGACCTAATTAATAATCATCAATTGAAATTTGTAACATGTGGCATCATACAAAAATCAAAATTAGTTTTTGATGCCTTTTAAACATTGATGGAAATGCAATTACGAACTCAAGATAAAAATTTCCATTGAAATGGAGTTTTCTATTGGAAAGGATGCAAAAGAGAAGAAAGAAGAAAGAGACAAAGAAATAAAAGAGAGGAAAAAAAGGTAAATGAAAAACTCAAAATAATGGAAGGGTAATTTTGTCCTATAGGGGGTTAAGTGAGCAAAATTAAATGTTAGGGGGTCCCATAGAGGGTTAAGTGAGCAAAATTAAATGTTAGGGGGTAAAATGAAAAATGGGATATACCTTGAGGGGATTAATTGTAATTAACCCCTTAAAATAATCATAACATCAGC